TAAGTAATAATATATATATATATATATATATATATATATATGCACAAATAAATACGTAATATATATATGTATATTATATATATACATATATATATATGTGCATATATACATATTATTATTTTAATCATTATTTATCATAACAATATCTTTGAACGTTTTTTAATTTCCGATTGTAATGAGATAAAAAAGATGGAAGCATTTGAGTCATGTATTTTTAAATTATCAATAATACATCGAGGTATCTATATGAATTTTTCACAAATTTTCAAGAAAAAATATATAGACGTACTTACATAATATTCCTTGTTAAAGAAAAGAGTGTGTGGAAAAGAAAGAAATGGTAAGTGAGTGTATGCACATACAATATCGGTGTGTTGTGTATGGTATAGCTGAAAAGATGCGAGAAGAAGAACGAAAACAGCATCGACATGATGAAGAAGAGAGAGTAGGCATGATATTCGTAGGCGTCGTGGGGGCCGCTGCACGAACTGATCCTCCGTGCAAGCACGCGAGAGAAACATGGAGAGGAAGGCTGGCATACCATAAACTCGAAGTAGGAGAAGGTGGAGGTGGTGTAGGTAGAATATCTCGAGAATCGCCTTGTAAAGTGGAACGGTGACAGTCTTCTGCAAAGAGAGATAGAAGAAGAAAGAAAAACTATTGGATGGAAACAAGGCTGGTTATTCCCGTACTCAACATCACTGGAATTTTTTTTTTTCTTTATTATTCTTTATTGTTTTACATATCTTTATTTTAATAATCAACATTCACTTCTTTCACTAGCTATAATTTTTAAAATAGTGACATGAAAGAACAATGATAATAATATTTTGCTATTTTGCTATAATTTACTATAAATAGCTTTTAAAATTTTTATTTTAATTTTACAAATAGATTTTTAAAATTTTTAAATTCGAAATTTTCATATTATTATTTTAATCTAATTGTAATTAACGCTTTTAATGTCTTTAAATAAAAGTCATATCTTGTATTCTAAAATTGTATCAGAGAAATGAATATCAATTATTATTTATTTGTTCATTTTATTTATCAGTCCACTTTTGGTAACATTCATGATTCTTTGTTATTATATATTTAATGCATTGTATTCAAACTTCCTCTATGTAGATATGAGACATGCATATGGGAATTTATTGTTATTATTATTGTTTCTATTTTGTATTATGATTCCTTGAGCGCATGCGTATCTTTAATTGTAGAATATATTAACGATTATAATTTATATATATTAGTATTATTTTCAATGTGTTATATGCTTTTTATCAGTTTTAATATTTTTATTATTTAATTAATATTTTTTATTTTTTTGTTTTTTAGCATTTTGTATTATATGAATTGTTTCTAATTTACATTATAATCTACATTACATTATATTTACATTATAATTTATTTAAATTTATATTAATTTATATTAAAAACAATATTCTTTTCAAAATTAAAAAATATTATCATTCATGTATAAATTAATTTTGATATTTATAAATTGATTTTTAAAATTAAAAAGAATGTATTTTCTAATTAATTGCAATTCTAGTTAATTAGATCACATAAAAAGATAACCATACCTTTTGTGCCACTATTAAGTACTTATTTGTCATCAAGAAATATTTTATATCTGTTACTTATTCTTATTATACATTTTCATCCAATTAATTTTATCATCAAAAATCATTCATTTAAAAATCTTTTTTCACTGCAAAATAAAAAAATAAAATAAAATATGTTTACAATTCTATTATTAAGGATTATAAAGTATAATTATATGAGTCAGATTATAAACGGTTCCCTTCTATGACCTTAAAGTCATCAAGAAAAAAACATTATTTATCATATTACCGATAAGAATGTTCCCGTATTATCTTTATATATTTATATTTGCTCAGATATAGTTTATTTTTAGGTATTCTTGGCGTGCTTTTTTTTCTCATAATATCGGTCTGTGCCAAAAATATATAATTTGATTTTTTTTTAAATTATATTGTACATGTTACATTATTCACCATTGTAATTGTTTTATTTGCAATTGTATGCGAAATAGAATCGTATAATTTTTTATCCAAATAAATAGTTTCTATTTTATTGATTCATTCGATAACCAAAAAATGTATCGTAAATCTTATACTCACATATTTATTATCATATATATATGTGCCTATTAGTATTTTAATTATTTTTTACTTTAAAAATTTATTTTATACGTATTTAGTTTTCATAAAACCATACGATAAAATTTTGAATTCGTTAATTCGGAAATAAGAATATTTTTTGAACGATGGTTTTGTAATAATGAGAAAGATCGAAAATTTAATCGTACTAGAATTTTGCAAAAACTGTTAAATCTATTAGAATACGTATGAGTGGCGCTAGAATCACAAAAATCCGCCGCGATTTCATATTTAATGCTCAATTAATAGAGGTCTCTGTTGAATCAATTTTTTAAAGTAGAAATTCAATTCTATAGAAGAATATTAATCTATGAAAATAATGTTAATTAAAGTCTGCCTTAAATTCCGTTTTCATAATAATAATAATAATTTATGTAATAATTTTTTAGTAAACATATTTTACAAATTCATGGTATATATATTGTAGAATTGAAGTTAATTATACAAATATTAATGAAAAAATGTTGGATATTTTCGCAATAATTTCAGAAACTGATTAATATATATTTTCAATATACTTTCAATAACACATTTCATAACGATAATAGAAACTTTTCTTGGAAACCATATTGTATAATTTAAGCTGTTTTTTAAGCAAAAGTGTAGCTAATAAATTTCAGACGTTACATACAATGCGTTACTCTGTATTGTATAATCTTAATCCGATATATACATATAATAATGACGTAATATCAACCGAATTTTCTGTATTGACTAAATTCTAACAAATTTCTTAGATTCTATCTTTTATTATTAATAAATAATTATATTTAATAATTATATAAATTT